GTTTCTCTCAAAACAAAAATCGACGTGTTCTTAAAAATTCTTTGTTTCTGAATTACAGGGGCTGTCAAGTTTTCCCGGCAGAAGAGAAGGGGTTGTGGAAAGTTGAACTTCTACATTTGGACTTTAGCTCGACGAGATCTAATGGTAATGGCAGTTCATTAACGCAACAAAATTGTTCAATAATTAATTCCACCATTTTGCCATGTACCGTAAGACCTCTGAATAATATCAATATGACTCCACGCAAAGTTGTGTCAAACGCCCTGCGATAATTGATTCGAATCATATAGAGGTTATGCTAATAATGTATTATTACCTGGGATGTAAGTTTCGATAATCAATTCTCCTTATATTCAGAGACTCCTTTTTCTGAACTTATCTGTTTACAAATCCTTCCGAATGAGATAACTATGAAATGAAATCAAGTTTGTTATCAGACGGCAATTCTTTGGAATTGATAAATCGATAATATCTGCCCTTCGACAAATGAATTTGAAATCTGCTACTCTTTCTCTGACGATAAATTGTAAACACGGATAATGAGGAGTTGAAGTAATTCTTAAACCAATAAGTGATAAAGTAGTCCGTCTTTAAATTCGCATACTATAAATTCATGCATACTTTAAATGTCGTTATTAATATGACCTTCCATTATTGATGAAAAATTGAAAATTGACACAGGCAATGCCAACAGGTGACTAAAAACTTCTACGTCGAGTTCCGACAAATTTGAGAATTTTTCGGAGTTTTCCACTAATTATTTCATTAGTATGCGAGATCATGATTTCGATCAAAAACCACGCATGAGGGACATTCAAATGAGACAGGGACTGAAATGAAACAGTTGTGCAAACCAAATGAAAAAAACATATATTTACAGTACGAAACAATCGATGGTAAATGTTTATTCAGATTTTTTATAATTCTGGTTTGAAGTGAGTGAAAGTACAAGCCTTAGTGAAAGTTTAATGTCTTGGAAAGTATTCATTTCGATTTATTTACAGTATTCAAACTGGAATCGTTGTCCAGATACAATAATTCCAAAGAAATGTTTCTTTACTTTTTTGGCATATGATAGTAGTATACATCAACTTCATATAGATACATTTTCTCTGATTCTGAAATATTTTGTACGCTTGCAATGAGTTTTGCTAATTTTCCTTTTTCTTAATCGTGATCTTAACTATTCATTTGTTGTGCTTTCAAGATACTTCTTTTTTTATTATAACCGTCAACTGCAGTTATTTTATCTTCATAATCAGCAATATCGAACTAAGCATTCAAGCTGTGTTCTTGATTTGAATGACTTAAATTTGCCTAACTACTGCATACAGTTATTGGTTTTTTTTGAAACTTTCAATAAATGAGTACAATAAATGTCAACGTCAAGAAGATAATTACTATACGTTGCAGTTAATCTTGGTGGTATCGTTGATAGGTACTCACGTTTTATATTTTATTCCAAGAACTTGGGCAACATGAAGAAATGTTTCATAATTACTTCACAATGTCATTTTCATCTTTTTGTGAATGAGTTACTAATCTGGAATGCAAAGTCAGGCGGAATGATAAAATTATGAGAAAAAGTATCCAGTTCGAATTGACCACTTGAAACTCAAAACCGCCTGACGAGTCGCGACTGCATTTTGCAGTTCGTGTTTATACGTTCTCTATTCGACTGCACTCGGACTGCACGGCGGAATGACCAGCAACACGGCTACTGCTATAGTCGAAGTAACCGGTATTGTGCATACTTAAAATTATTGGCGATCTCAAAGGCCAAAAAACCAATACAGAGAAATAAAGCCGCTGCCAATTAGTCCACGTGGACTGAAGAATTGGCGGTTCGTATCGGATAATATTTACTAAAGGAGTTTAATGATTGGTTGAAAAGTCATAAAATTAGATTCGAAGTCATGTTACGATGGCATATAGAATACAAGGATGGTTATAACAATCGTGTTGTCAATGCCAAAACGAGCATCGCAGTGGTTGACGAAATGAGTTGATGTCTCCAGAAACTGCGACAGGACGGCACAGGAAGGGAACATGCCGGGAGGGGAACATGACGTGAAGGTATTTTTTTTGTTTCTCTATAGTTTCTTATGGAGAGGCGCATACTAAGGTAGGCAAACGGACAGGAACATGCCAGGACAGGAACAGGACGTGCCAGGCCAATGCCGAGCTGTCTCCAATGAAAGGCCACCTCCCGTCATCATCCCGTCCTGTGCCGTCACTTCGCAGTGTGCGTAGAATTCCAGTAGGCATTTCAAAAAGTGTAGTACATCGTTTATTATTCGAAAAATTGGACATGAAAAAGGTGTGTGCAAAATGTGTGCCGCGTTTGCTCACACTCGAGCAAAAACAGTGTCGTGAAGATGTATTGATTGAGTGTTTAGCAAAGTTTCACAGCAACAAAGCGGAATTCTCGCAAACAAAAAAAATAATTGGCGCTCCGGGGCGACTTCATTGATTCCAGTGGCGCATTTGCTTTTTCAGCTGCAGGAAAACCCGGAAAAACCTGCAGCACCACATCATCTAAAGATCTTGATCTGCCAATGTCCGCTTTGATGTCTTCTTTAACGAACGAAAAAAATATTTCTTGTATTTTAAATTGAATTTTGTGAACAATAGAATTTTTTTTTGTAAGTAGTTCACAGCCTTTCAAACTCTGTTCATAAGTTTTCTGTATTTTCGAACTATTGCTTATTCTTTTGAATAAAAAGACGAAGACTCTTTATTGGTCCAATTTTGGAATTGAGATCAAACGTAGAAATGTTTTATAATTCATTCAAAGAGCTTGGATAACATGAAGAAATGTTTCATAATCAATTCAGGATGTCATCTTCATCTTTTCGTGAACAAGCAAAGTCAGACGGAATGATAAAATTAAGAAAAAAAGGAGCCAGTTCGAATTGACCACTTGAAACTCAAAACCGCCCGACGAGTCGCGATTGCATTTTGCAGTTCGTGTTTATACGTTCTCTTTTCGACTGCACTCGGACTGCACAGCGGAATGAGCAACACGGCTGCTGCTGCCATGCTGGCTGCCACTATTTGCATGTTGTGGTGCTCGACTCTTTTATGCTATTGTGATGAATCTGAAGCCGCCCCTGACCGATATGTCGGCCAGCGAACAAACATCATCACAAAAGGAATGCAGTCGGCAACCGCCGATAAAATTCTAGTTGAGTACCGAAACGACTACAGAATTCTAGAACTATCGTTAAGGCCGGCTTCTCGTCCCAAGAGGGCAGTTGAGTTCAGAAAGTGAATCGAGCGGTTAAACAAGGAATTCAAATAGTGGAAATAAATTAGGCGTTAGTTGCCAAATGTTGTAAATAAATTAGTTTGTGATAGTGAAATATTGTTGGAAATAAATTTGTTTAAGACAGTTAATTATTTAATTTGTCACACTATTAAAAACTGTGTACTGCTAAAGATGCGACTGTAAAGTGCAGTCAACAGCTATCGCACATAATGGTCCGTCTATTTCCAGCCTTACTAGAATACACAAGGTTTCTACAATTTTGCAATCACTCGAAACAGGATCTCAACACGATTTTCAACATCATTTTCAAGGGAGATATCCTTTAAACAATACGTTATTATTTTTTTTATTGAGAACATAGTCGCATCCACCTGAAAGGTGATTAGCGACGGATCAGTACAATACTATCAAATAATAAATACTAAAGCAGTAAATGTGTACACATATTTAAATTTTGTTCAATAAGTCTATGTCTTTAAGATAACCAATCAGATTTCTTGAGGGGAATTCTGTTCCGAGGAGAACTCTAATGTCATTCGGGAACTGATGATTAGATCGTTGAACATTGTATTCAGGGCATTCAATTAAAATGTGGTTTACACTCTGAGCTGCATCACAATCGTCGCATATAGGTGGACCAAGACGGAGGCGCGTGAGAGTCACTTGTGCTTTTCTGCTCTTACAAGTTGGTTGCCAACCCAAGATATTGTTTTTAATGTTACGCAATTTTTATCGCGAATTTAACCACTCTTGATTCCACAAACATGACAATTTATTTTTGAAAAAGACTTTCAAATCACTCGGTACACTGCGAGATACTACTTCTGATTCAACACTTACTATCGTGTTTCGCGCACATTGGTCTGCTTTTTCATTTCCGTCTATTCCGTTGTGAGAAGTGATCCACATAATGCTGATCTTCCGGGAGTTCTTTTTTGCTACCAACAGTTCTGATTTCATCATTTTGGCAATAGGATTGATATGATAAATTTGCTGTGATATTTCCACTGAGCTAAAGGAGTCTGTGAGGATTAGGCCTAACGAAGAATTGGAGTGATTAATGTACTGGATTGCCTTGTATAATGCATACAGTTCTGCGGATGTGTTTCGCTATACAATAGCTTCCTCAAGCGTAAACGTTTGAGAAACGTGTCGCGGTTTTTGGTCAAACCCTTTATAGTGAAAATCATACAATAAACTGTATTAATTACTTTTAATATTGATTTTCATCAAGTTTCGGCTAGTTGTATTCAATTACAATTTTTTTCTATTATTTCATGTAAAGTTTTGCTTATGTTTAAGCTTGAGCTTAAGAATTGCTGTCATTTTTGAAATCAATAGTGGAACGTCATTTCACGATTTTGTACCAGTTTCATCAATTCGTCAGCACTCTACTGATTATTTTGTGAAAACATATTTGATATTCCATTTTTCAACTTCGATTTTGAGAAGGAATTGTTTTCATCCCGTTTAAAATTACAAAGGTAAAAGCTATCAACAGGAGTTTGAAATGTTCGTACTCAAATAAAAACAACATATTTGATTTGGTGTTTTCTTTCAACACGAAGGAATAAATTCAAATTTGTTTTCTTTGGTCACTCTGTAAAATATATGCATCTGAAAGTCAACGAATTGCCGTCAATAGACCTATAAGTTCCATCGTATTCGATTTTTCGAACAATGCGCAGCCGTCATCAATATTAATTGAGGAAATTGAATAAACTCTAACCTTTTCTCCCCTGTGGAACTGTATAGCTTAAATCGTTGAATTCTATATCGACTGGCGGCCTCTTAGGCAGATAGCATAAAGATGTATCCTTAGAGCTTATCATCTCGCACTTTCACCACTCGAACATTGAATGACAAAAATTAGGTTAGAAGTAAATCGCGTCACGAACACACACTGTCTTC